GAGGGGAGAGCACAGAGTCCACAGAGAGAAACAGTACAGGAGAACAGGCATCAGGGGAGGGGCCTTGGCTCTCTCCTCTGGCCAGCTCTCTGGCCAGCCCCAGGGCATCCAGCCCTGTGTATGTACTGGGGAGGGGTGGAGGTCTGAGGGTCGCCAGGCACTATGGGGTGTGTGTGTGTGTGGTCTGAGGGTCACCAGGCCCTTTGGTGGGAGAAAAGGGCTGGCCTCTGTGATGATCAGGGACAGGACCATCCACAGCATTCATCCTGAAGCAATGACCAGTGCAGCTTGCAGGTGCCAGGTCCACGATACTGCATGTGACCAAGTGTCCAGGGGCCATTTGGATCTTCCAGGCCATCCTAAAGCCCGGGCCTTCAAGTGCAGCAAGGTCTACTTTACAGGTCTTCGTTCACACAGAGCCAGCCTAGCCTTTCCTGTTTAGATCAGAGGGCCCTAGTTCTTGGTGTCCATTCCTACAAGACAGTCCTGGGTCCAAGCAGGGATGGGCCCAAGAGGCCACAGACCTGGGCTGGAATCTCAGTTCAGCCACTGACCTCTCTTCATGACTCGAGCCTTGGTGTCACCTATGAAACATGACAGACAGATGCAGCTCACTGACCCACTGTGATGATTGAACTCGGGGAGCAGGAAGCTGAGCAGAGCTCATTCTGCATGGGGAGATATAAGGACAGCAGGGAAGGCCAGAGTGGGCTGAAGCCCAGTGTCAGCCCAGAGCTACACAGATCTTACCCTCAGCACTCAGAAGGCCAAGCCCTGGAAGAGCCTCCCCTGACTCCCAGAACACAGTGAAGACTGCAGCAACCTCTCCCAGCCCAACCTAAGGCCCCTCACCCACTCCTAGCACACAGAACAATGGGGGGCTTGCCCATCCCCTGACCTTTTCTGCAAGTGGCCTGTGGGGGAGGTGTAGAGAGAAACATGTTCCACTACCAGATGTCAAACCACCTGTGGCTCAAACTCATTGCTTCTTCCCTCCCCATTAACTCTCAGTGGGGTTCTGAAGAGGAATGAGCAGCCTGCTCACACCCTAATGAGAGAAATAAACAGTCCTCAGCCCCCTCCACACCAATTAAGGGAACGGAAGTCTAGAGGCCTGCATTACCAAACCCCAGGGTACAGGCTCTCCTCTAAGGCCATCAGGCCACCCTAAAGCCCATGTCCCCAAATTCCTTGAATTCCAGTGGAAGAGCAGTCTGTGGGAACAGAGGTGGGCCTGCACCTGCTTGTCTGAGCCTCTCACAAGAGCAGGCTGTGGGGCCTGCAGAGTCCCAGACAGCACAAGCCTGAGGGTGACAGAAGGCAGGCCTCCCAACAGCGAGCCCTGGGGGCTCTGTGAGAGGGCCTGACCCACATGGTGAGGTGCCGTCAGAAGCATGAAAGACTGTGCAGTGGGACCAGAGGCAAGGGTTATTATTCTAGACATTTCTGCGACCATGAGGGGGATCCAGGTCTTCTCTTCCCTCCCTCCTAGGATGGCTTCCGGCAGTTCCCCCAGAGAGCATGCAAACTGGAGCCAGAGGAGCTCCTGCCAGGCAGGCGGCCTCCAGAGCCCCGGGAGCCACTGCTCCTGACTGTGAAGTTCTCCACAACTCACCGGACACCTCCACTTCCTATGGAAGGTGCACAAACTCCCCTGGAGTCACGCCAAGTCTAAGGCAGGTCCCCAGACCAGAGTCAACAGAGGACCAGGCTGGGGCAGAAAGACCAGGCAAACTGCTGAGCGGAAATGGGGAGTCACCAGGCAGCTGTGGTGTCCACGCCACTGGACTTCCCACACCCACATGAGTCCCCAGAGTCTTCGATAAGGGCAGCAGCCACTGCTGAATCAGTGTGTCCCCGGTGAGCAGCCCCAAGGGCTCTGATGAACATGTGGACCACACCAGAGCACAGTCGTCTGTGATGACCAGTCCTGACTGGCCGAGCCGCCCACCGCCATACCATGGAATTGAACAGGCAACTGGACCACAGGCCCCGGACCCTATAGCTACTCACGCATGTCGGTCCATGTGATTAGGAGCTGCCCGAGGGTAGCATGGACCCTAATGCCCAAACCAGGAAAGGCGACAGCATGGAGGGGAGCAGGGCATGGAGGGCCCCGCATTGAGGGCAACAGGAGTCAGCTGGCATGGGGATCCCACCGGGGAGGGCAGGATGGGGGCACAGCACCCACATCTTTGGTGCCAAGGATGCCCCACCAGACCCACCTGTTGAAGTCCTCCTCCTGGCGCTGTGAATGCCCAGTGTTTATTTGCTTTCCAGCTTTGTTGAGGTTATGATGGGCAATGAAAAAGGGCCAATCTAGGGCTATAACCTGATAGCCCAACATCTAAGCACACAAGTCAACCACATACCTGTCACTGCACACCTCTGCCATTTTCCATTTTTGTGATGAGAAAACTTAGGACCGCTCAGCAAAAGTCACGTGCAAGAAGGAGTGACGCCGTCTGCAGTCCCAGTGCAAACCACGTCTCCAGAACTCACTCACTGGGAGGCACCAAGACTTTCCCAGGAATGCACTCAGCTGATCCCAAGAGCCTGCCCACCCAAGGGCGTCCTCACCTGCCCCCTTCCACCGCCCTTGCACTTCTGGGCAAACTTGTGGGCAAACTCTAGCTGCCACCTTCCCCGTGCCCACACTGCCTCCTTTCTCTTCCTCAGCCGCCCAGGGCATTCAGCACTGGTTCTCTTTGTAACTCTCTGGGTGCATGTTGGGGTCAGGCGAGAGAAAATGTGAATGTGAGAATGAGTGTCAGTATGAGGGGGGGCTAGGGTGTGCCTCCACGGAGTCACATATGGCCCCAGCACATGACTGTGTCATCCTGGCTCAGTATCGCCCCCCCACAGGCATCGCACCAGACCTGTCCGTACACATTGCTGGTGTAACGAATGCCTGTGGGTGCTGGATGGACAAATGGATGAACAGAGCAAGAGGCAAGTGAAGATCATGGAACTGGATGCTTGCTACCTGATCCCACTGTTAGGGGGAAGGATGTCCTAAAGGAACTCTGCAGTGGACTCCACCCCCTACTCCAGCTTTCTGGACTCCACCCCCTTCTCCTGTGATTGGAAACTACAACTCCCAGCAGCACCAGGGAGAGAACTGCGAGGACCCCAGGGCGGAGCTAGCAGGAATTCTGGGACTTTGGGGGAATACATAGGGGTCCATTTTCTACGTCTGTTCTCTCTCGGGACCGGGTGGCTGGTAGCTATCAATGTTAATGGAGCTCCAAGTCAGCCAAGCTGGCAGGATGTTCTAGTTTTTTGTTTTTCTTTTTCCTTTCCCCAACCTATTATTGACCCTTTGTGTATGTGCCTACGGTACAACTGAATTTTAAGCACACAGGTGAGGACCCACAGACAGGCAGCCTAGTTCACACTGGGGTGCCCTATGACACCACCACTGCCCAGTGGTGGCAGTGACCAGGGCATGTCGCCGAATCCCTCTGTGTCCATTTTCTGTGTCTGAAACCAGAAGGCCAAGACCTCGCTGTGTGAGAATTAGTGTGCTGATGGACACGCGCTGGCAGATGGCTAACACGCAGTGACATTATGTTTCTCGGGGCCCCCGTGGTTCCTAGCACAATTCCGTGTAGAACAGGTGTTTTGTACGTGCAGGGAAGCTACCCCTGGTGAATGAGTACAAAGAAAACGAACTCTACTAGCTCTGCCCTGCTTCTGAGGACCCCCCTCCAGAGGGAGGGAATCGAGGCCCCCTTCCTGGCCCCCTGCTCCCCACACCCGCTCCTGGCATCACAGAGTTTCTCCAGGCTCCTGCCTGCCCCAACTCCTTGTCCCCAGAGGTAGAACCATGACCCTCACCTGGATGGATGTGCAGGTGGTGATGACACTGCTCCCCAGGCTGGTGCTGTCACTGAGGTCATCTGGCAAAGAAGGCGTTTTCTCTACCCGTGGGGCCTGTGTGGCCTGGAAGGAGGGGTTTTTAGGGGACAGGTTTACATCCGTGCCATTGCCAAAGGCCTGGATGGCGTTCCCTGTGGGGAGAGAGCAGGCAGACACAGAAATCAGGAGCCATCACTTCTACCCTCACCAAACCAACTGCCACCTCCCTGAAACAGCCCAGAATCTGGAGGCAGAAAGTGGCTTGTTCAAATTTAACTTTGCTGAAGTGCCTTTCAGATACCTGTGAGGCATGACACCCAGAGGAAAAAACAGCCAGCGGGGAGATGAAAAAAGGGCAGAAAATATGAATTGAAAGAACGAATGTAGAAAAAGAAAAAAGAAGAAGTTGGGGGATCAGGAAGGGGAGCAGGCACACCATCTTCTGCGCCACGGAACACCCAGGCGCTCCCCACCTCTGGTCTCCAGGGGCAGGTTCTCCTGACTCCCTGCCATTTCCAGACTCCTGCCGCTGGCTTCCAAGGGCTTCAGGCTCAGTCTTCCTCCCTCTTCACACCACCCCTCTTCCCTTGGGGGTGGAGCCCACACCCACTCCCACACCATCAGCCTGAATGATCTCCTGAGGGCTCACTAATGAGGCTTTTGGACAAAACTCTGTCCCCGGGACACAACCCTAAAACCAAGCGCCTGCAGGCACCTCACTCTGTGCACCAGGCTCCAATCCCCACATCTGCACAGCTAAAGCAGGCGACTCCCCCCAATGCCACGCTGACCTCCCTGCCACCAGTCTTGAAGATGCCATCTCCACCAACCCGGGCCCTCCAAGCTCCCGTGGACTTCCCTAACCACCCACTTGCCCCCAAAATGGAGCATATCCTGAGGTTCTGTTATAGGGCACCCCAAATCTGTTCCAGAACAGGGGGAGAAGGACACCCCTGAAGCCCCAAAACCCTGCCTGCTCTATAAGTGGGTTCTGCCATCTGCTGCAACAAGACAAAACATATATAAAACTTTAATGAAAAGGGACTTTAATACAGTAAATATACAATACGGAACACAAAGAATATACCTTCTAAATCAAACACCTGAAGTGACCCATCCCCTCGTGGGCAAAAGTCAACCCAAAAGGGATTGGCCCAAAGCAAGGCCTGAAAGCCAGACACAAGACTAAAAGCACCTTATGGCTGGGACCCATGGAAAAGGGTCAGAAATGGCCAGACAAATCTGGGAGGAAAAGAGCAAAATCAACATCAATATAAACACTGCCATAGTCACCTCCCTACAGGTCTCTCACCCACATCTGCCTTAACCAATCTAGGGTCAGGAAACAAGCACCGTTTCGTCACCACATGCTTGCTGCTCCATGTGGCTTCCTCGGGTCTCCTGGCTCTCCATCCAGCTTCCTTCTCTTCTTCTCTCTTCTCCTTTTTCTCAGCTCAGCTCCACCCTCCTGGGTGGGGTAGGGACCCTGGAACTTCCCTTTTTTCTAGGGACCACCCTGTTACAGTTTTCCCTCCCTCTCTGCTTTGCCCTCCTGCACTGCCCTGGGTCCCGTGGGCACCACCTCTCCCCTAAGCAGCTACTGCACCTTTCAGTGGGCTGTTTGGGCCACCTGTCAGAACCACATCTCCAGCCACACCTGCTTCCCGCCAGAGCCAAGAGCCGCCCACAGCACCACCTGCTGCTGACACCGCTTCCTGATCCACACCACCACCCCCCAAGTCACAGTGTAACAAGGGGGGCCCCCAGGAAAAGGGCAAGTTTCAGGTTCCCTGACCCATCCAGAAGGAGGGTGGAGCTGAGATCAGAAGAGAAGAGAAGGAATCTGAGGAAGAAGGAAGAAGGATGGAGAGCCAGAAGGAGATCTGAGGACGCCACATGGAGCACCAGGCATGTGATGAAGGATCCATGCTTCTTTCTTGGCCCTAGACTGGTTAAAAGCAATGTGGGTGAGAGACCCAGGGGGAGGTGACTATGGCAGTGTTAATATTGATTTTGATTTTGCTCTTTTCCTCCCAGACGTGTCTGGTCATTTCTGACCCTTTTCTATGGGTCCCGGCAGGGAGATGCTTTAGTCTTATGGCGGGCTTTCAGGCCTTGCTTTGGGCCAATCCCTTTTCTTTCTGGGTGGGGCAAGGAACCTAGAACTTCCCCTTTTCCTAGGGACCACCCTGTTACAGCAGGACCCACAGATCCAGACAGCAGGGCCTTCCTGGGGAGGACTCTCTCTCCCTGTCCAGGTAACTCCAGCACCCTCATGCTCTGCAGCAGGACTAAGCAGTCTGAAGTTCCCCAATCCACCTCTGCCCAGGTGCACGGTGCCATCCTCCTGTGCCTGGGGCAGCAGCTGAGAAGCCTCGAGGGCCTCCTCCAGCAGGCTGACAGACACCCCCACTCTGGGCTTCTGGGGATCCCTGTGCAGACCTCCACCATGCGCTGTTCACCCCATACTGCGGTCTCAGGTGACCCCGGCCAGGCGTGCCCCTCAGACTGCAAGCTCCTCCATGGCAGATACTGCAATTTGCATTTCTGACTTCCCAGCACCACAAAAAGGAGAGGCTGCACAGAAGGAAGAAAGGAAAACGGGAAGAGGCCTCCATGTGGGCAAGGCACAGGGTGTCAGGCCAGGAAAATCAACATAAACAGAGCTTGTAGTAACCCCTCTCTCGCTAGCTTTTGGATTAAGAGTTTATGACTTGAATAAAAAGTCCCTGATTCAAGGAGAAATAGATCCCTCGCCTCAGGACTGTCTCTGAAGGCCTGAACTCAGACCAGAAAGTCAGCCTTGACTTGACATAGATGCAAGGCCTCCGGTGGTAAACTGAGGCTACCAGCTAAGAGCACCAGGTGAATCTTCAGGCGCACACATGTCGAGGTCTCGTGCGCAGCAACCATGCTGGAGATCAGCAGCCACAGAGAAAGGGGAGGCTGGCGTCAGCTCCAGGCCCCTCTGGACGAGCCTCAGAGGGGTTCAGGTGTGGGGAGCACACCTGGCAGGACTTACGGAGGCACGGGTTCTCGGTGAAGTCTCTGAGGAACTTCTCACACTCCTCCTCCATGTTCCCACTCCCGCGACAATTGCACCAGGGTGACACCACGATGCCGGTGGGGCTGGAGTCCACGTAGTTGGGCGTCATATCAAACCCTGGCAGGGGAAAGGAACCGTAAGGCCTGCTCTTTGGGCCCCTCCCAGACCCACAGAGAAGAGGCCTTGGGCCTTCTTCTTCCACACCCCCCAAACACAGATACATTGCAACTCACACCCCACTGTCAGCATCGCTAGGACAATACCAGCGGGGCATGGTAGAGAGGACAGGGGCAGAGATGCCCAGCGGCACCTCCTGGAGCCTGGGCCCTGGCTCTCTCCATGAAGCAGCGGAGCATGCTCTCTGGAGTCAGGGGCCTAGGGCTGGTTTGGATCCAGTGTGTCCATTCACTAACCTGGTGAACCTGTCAAGTCCCTCAACTCCTCCACATCTCAGTTTCCCCATCTCTAAAACAGAGCTACCAACACCTCTCTAAGGAACACTTGTCTGAGTTAAGTAAGACAGTCCAGGTCTGCTGCTGGGCTGGTTAGTGCCATCCCTGGAATGTCAGAACCAGGCAATCAATGGTTCTTTGGCACTTATTCTGAAAGCCTTGGAAGGTCCCTGGGGTCCTCCTCCCCCAGGACAGAGCTGGCCTCTCCTCAGAGATTATCTAAAACTCACTAAGGGGGCGAGTTAAGGCTGCCTCCGCTAACCCTGAAGGGACCTACCCCCCACCCCACCACCACCACTGAGATTGGGGCAGCCCAGGGACCCCAGGCCCACTGGGCCTTACCGATCATGCCGGCGTAGGAGCCCAGACACGCCTGGTAATTGTCGGCAGGGCAGCTGGTGAGCGTCTGGTAGGAGGCTCGACAGTTGGCGTGGAAATCCGCTAGCCGGGACCTGGTGTTGGAGAAGACCCACGGAGAGTTTAGTCTGGCTGCTTTCCTTCCGCCTCTGCACAGAGGCTGCTCCCCAGCTTCCCAGAAATGGAGGAGGCCAGGAAGAGGGGGCAGACGAACATGGGGAAACAGGCCCCAGGGGACCTCAGGTCAGCTGCTCCTTGAGAACAGAATTTTCTGGAGAGTCAGGCATGGCCTACTCTGAATGGACCAGTCAGAGGAACAGGCCAGAGATGGGCTTGCTGAGAATGCCTGAGATAGGGGGGTGGGGGGCGCAGGAAAGCTGGGGCTCCACTTTCTGCTCAACATACTCCTGGGTGACCCTGCCCATATCTTTCCTGATATTACACTTCACACCCCAAACGCAAAACATCATCTCTGACCCAGCACAGGATCCAAGGGTCAAAGGAGGCTATGGACTTCCCAGTCCCCCACAGGGAGACATCTCCCGGGCACTGCTGGTCTCTTTTGCAGAGAATCAGAGCAAAACCTCCCTGGTAGTCCCTCTACCAGCTCTCCCAATCCCACCTCCTGGTGCCCACACCTGCCACCAGCCACTCCTCTCTGCCCACACTGATAGCTGCTTCTGACCACTTGCGCTCAGTTGGAAACAGACACTGACTGGATCCGCCCTGGCCCCAGCCTGCAGACGGGGAGATTCATGTGCTACTCTGGGGCACCCATGTCTAACCTCCAAGGGGATGCAACTCCCTCCTCCTCCTATTCTGTTACCATCAGCCCAGGCAGGAGGTAGCTATTCCATCACCACCTGCTGGGCCACCCTCAAAATCCCATTATTTGTGTCCCACAACAACTGGGAGCAAAGAGTTAACAAGGTCTTGTTCACTGGAACTTTCCCGATGATGGGCACACAGTGGGAAACAACAATATGTGCTCAGTGAAAACAATATGGTAGCCACGGGAAGGACCAGAACTCAGGCAGCAGGCACCCTACACATGCTTGGGGCCACACCACGAAGTACCACGCAAAGCCATCCCAAAGGTCACCTGAAGTCCCACAGACCTAGCTTTCCCTTGGAACTTTGAGGCAGCAGCAGGAGGCCTGAGAGGAAGGCCCTCAGGGCAAAGAGCTTCAGGTGGCTCCCTGGACAATTCTGGTTCAATCCGCGGGGTTTTGAGGGAGAGAAGCCCCCAGGGGATTCCACCTGCAGTGTGGAGGTGTAGGCAGATGGGCACACGATAAATGGGGGTGGGGGGGCAGTGTCTTCACTTCAGCTCTGCCCCCAACGTGAATTAAGTCTTTTCTTCCTTGGCTTCCTTATTTAGCGAATGAATTAAAATGTGTTCCCGCTTTCTGGTTCTTCACAGGTATTCTCAGTTTGGAAAGACGAAAATGTTCCAGAGATGGATGGTGATGACGGCTGAACAACAATGTGATCGCACTTAATGCCACTGAACTGTACACTTAAAATGGTTAAAACGGTAAATTTGATATTATGTATAATTTCCCACAATAAAAAAATGATTTTAAAATGATGCTTTCACATCCGTCTTTTCTCAGCGAATCCTCATAGGAGTGCTGTGAGATGTGACAAGCAGTTGTTATCATCCCACTTCACAGAGGCGGAAGCTGGGCCTCAGAGAAGCGAAATAATTGACCCAACCTCACCAAGCTCCTGAGCGGTGAAGCTAGGGCCCAGCCCAGAACTCCAAGCACACGTGCACCCCTGACAGACCCCCTCACTCCTGCGCAAGCCAGGGGTCAAGAGCCCTAGTGGTCCCCCCAGTACCAACCCAAAGGAAAGCAGCAGCTGTCTCTACCCCTCCCGCCCCTCTAAGACTCCCTCCAGCACCCCACCGCCCAGCCCCAAACAGGGGAGCAGCATCCAATCAGCCATGCAGAGTAAGGCCTGGTCTGGAACAGAGACTGGGTTACCCCACTTCACAAGGGAATGAGAGAGGAGGTGCTGTGGGAGTGGTCTCTGCCCACCCCCACCCCCTCACCCCAGGCTCCAGGAGCCTGAGAGGTGGCTATGGGGACCTTGGCAAGCCAACTGGGCCATGTAGGGAGGGGATGCCGTGTCCACATCTCGAGGATGCGGTACATGTCTTAGGTTCCCTTCACCTCTCAGGGCACACTCAAGTCCAGGCAGCACTCTCCCTCCATCAGACGCCAAGTGATGACCACGTCTTTCAAGCCTGAGATGCTCACCTCCAAATACAAAACAGGGGGAGGACAAGCCCTGCCCAGTGCTGGGAGGTGCCTGCTCCCGGCTCCCAGCTCCAAGGCAGATGCCACCCTTCCCCTAATGCCCGTGAGCCAGCTCCCGGCCAGGTGCCACTTTTCCTGCAGACACCGAGCCGTCGCCCATCACTCCAACTCTACTTTCCCTGCCGTCAACAGACCTCCCCTGGACCAGCCTCATCACTCTGCAGAGTTGTCCCTTGAAAAGCCCCCACAAGAGGTGGCATGAGAGAAAGAGAGACAAAGACAAATAAGAGAACCAGCACGAGAAGCGATATGAACGCAAGCCAAGTGCATCTTGGCGAGATTAAGCAAAGACTGCAAATGAGCTCAGGGCAGCGGGTGCAGCAACACAAACCCTCTCTGGGCTTGTTTCACCAGCAGCTGCAGCCATTTCAATCACAGGGGAGCAGCAAGGGAGAGGGAGAGACACTTGACCCCCAATTTGATTAGACAGTTGCCAGATTAAATACAGGACTCGTTAATTTGCATTTCGGATAAACAATGCATTGTTTTTAGAATAAGTATGTCCCATGCAATATGTGGGACATACTTATAAAAACACTTTCCGTGTTTATCTGGAATTCAAATTAAGCTGTGTGTCCTGGGTTCTCATTTATTAGATCTGGCAGCCCAATCTGGTGGGCAGATGGAAAGAAGAGGCTAGCCAAGATCAGACTGGGGTGTCAGTTGGGGGGTGTGGGTGGACGCCCTAGAGGTCAGAGGTTTTCAAAGTGAGGTCCACTGGCCAACAGCATTAGTATCCACTGGGAAATGCCTGGAACTTCCCCCAGGCTATTCCAGACTCCAGGATCTGAAATATGAGGGGCAGGTGGCCCCACAATCTTGTGTTTAACTAGCCGTCCAGGGGATTCTGAGATACACCCAGGTTTGGGGACATGGCCTTCTGCACCGGTCTCGAGTTGGGCTTGTGGGGCCTCTTCGGACCCCACTCCTTGCACTCAGCTTTAAGTCTCTCCACTTTGTGGAAAGCCAGAGAAGCTCAGGGGTACAAGGCAAGGGTCAGTATGTCTGTGCACGTACACACCCTCCACACCGCCCCCCACAAACACACATCACACGTGGACCCATGCCGCTCAGTTTTATATTTTGGCCGTAGCCACGAGAAAGCACAGACCCCTGTACTGAGGAGACCCTCCTCCTTCAGAAAGACTGTAAACCCCTTCCCGAACACAGACTTTCCCAAAGCTGCCTGGCCTGGAACAATACGGCTGTGACTTCTTTGCAGGCGAATGCACAGCGGTGCAGGCCAATATGTGGCTTCTGGACTCAAAATCTTTCCCCAAAGTGCCCGTTTAGCAGACTCTACCTGTGGTGCGGAGCTTGTGGAAGTGGAGCAGGAGGAAAGGGCCCACTCAGTGCCAGACGGTCATCGCATTCAGCCCTCTGGATAGTACCACAAAGTGGACCTGTGTGATGGCAACATGGCAGCACTGACAGGCAGATCACACACCCCACAGCTGCACAGCAGGGCCAGGCCCCTGCCCGGACGATGGTCTTTCCTCTGGCTCTGCTACTGTGGCCGGCCACTGCAAACAACTTGGAGGAGCAGCCCCCAGCACGGTCACATGCAAATGAACAGGGCACTTGAATATTTCATGGAGGGGAAAAGGGCTCCCAAGAAGTGCAAATTACTCATGATGGGCCTCATAGACAATTTATGGGAATGCAGAGAAAATGGCTTTAATAGACCCCAGTGCTTCTGGAATGGCTTTCTGAGGTCCCCTCCAGCAGTGCAGGGCTTGGTTAAGTGGGTTCAATGTTACGTGACACCAAGGAAAGAGAAAATGGATTTCAGCCACATGGGTGCTTTCTGATGCCTCCGGGTCACTCCCGGGCCTGCTGTGGACAGCCTGAGCTTCTGCTTCCTCCAGGGGACTGTAACCACTTGTTTCATAAAAGCAACTACCAAACTGGCTTCTTTCCAACCTGTTTATCCTTTAAATGTACAGGGGATCCTTCTTCTTTCTGCCCAGAACATCAGCTCCCCCGCCTCGGGGGTGGGTTGGGAGAGACATTGTTGTTGGTGGTTATAGAAGCTTCCTGTCTACCACCACGCCTGATATCCCTTACCCCCTCCCTTCCCCACCTCTCAACCACAGAGACTTCATAGCGCTTATACATGTCCCCTAGCTTCTGTAAGTATTTCACTTGGCCAAATTGTCCAGTATTTGTTTTGGTCCTTCTGACTTGCTTTATTCCGCACAATTCCCTGGAAGGCTGGTCAGGTGGTTCTAATAAAGCTGTCGGCCGTGCACCCACCCTCCTGACCACAGGTGGGCACATGAACCACGCGGGTCAACCACAGGGCTCTCTCCTGGCTGACTAGTCTAGGCCTAAACAGGCAACAGGCCAGGCCAAGCAGTGTCCTTCCCTGGGGTTTTCCTAATGGACCAGGCAACTGAGCCCAGGTAACCGGGAGCAGCCTCTCTGGCCTCATGTCACAGGAAGAATAAACAGCAGGTGACAGCAGAGAGAAGCTGAATCGACAGACAGGGGAAAACAGAGAGACTCAGCTGTATTTGAGTCCCGGTACACTCCTGCCCTTTTTAGACTTGACTGCAAGCCAATGATTCCTTCTTTTTTAAATTTTATATATTTTTAAACATCATTCTTCATTTTGGACATTTTTTCATCTCAGTTGTAATCCCTGTGGACTTCCCACCACCAATTCACCCATGTGCCATCACCCGGTCCCGTGTCTTCTTCCCAGCCCTGTTATGATCCTGATCCCCTCTGCTTCCCCAAAGAAAGTTGCTGGTTTATAGTTGTTA